CCTGTGTCTGTGCTTTAAGAGGCAGAGGATCTTTCTCTGTTTCTCTTGCCTCTCTTCCTTCTCTACTTGCTCCTCCATGTCATAGTGCGCTCCTGTCGTTCCTCCTGATTTACCAGACATCCCCTTTCCCCTGCTGTCACATTTGGTACAGATGGTTAAGCTCTATGGAGTGGCCTGTCAGTCTCCATTCGGCCGCCTCGGTGTGACAAGGGGCCTGATGGCTTGTGAAGGGCCCCCGACTTTCCCAGCACATGGACACTGACATTTCTCAAAGGAGCTTGCATGCGCGCTCCCCACCCAGCCAGAGGAGAGAAATGAAGAACCTGGAGTTGACCCAAAGCCTGCCACAGGCTAAGAGAGCCAGGGATAGATGGAAGAGAGAGAAGGAGAGAGTGAAGATCGAGAGGTTGAGGTTAGATTTAGAAGAAGACAGCATGAGAGGAAAGAAAGACAAAGAGTAGGAGATGAGGAGTGAGTGGGAGACAAAGCGAAGAATAAGGATGGCAAGTGAAGTGAAAGAGGACAAAGGAGAGTAAGAGTTAAAGAGAAGTGAGTCTTAACTGTCAGGAGAGACATATGTCAGTCATTGCCTGTGGATGTGATCTTGTAGCTCATGTCAGTAACCCATCCAGTGCCCTGTACCACTGCACTAATCACTCCATAACCCACCGCCCACCCCCACTGCACCGTTCAGCAGAAAGACTGCCTGTCTGTTGTGGGGGATGCGGGTGAAGTGAAGCAGAGAACACCCCGTCACCCCTGAACACATTTCCACCTGCACCACCCATCTGAATCAACCTCATTCAGTTAGACAGACCACTGCTCATCATGGATCAGTGCAAACATAAAGAATGACACACTCCTATTCCTCTAATCCTGTTACTGTAATTATTACAGAAGAAAAATCAACAAATTTGAAAGAGGGAAATAATCTAAAATTGATTTTTTGACTTGAAACTTTGATTTTGATCAGGAATAATGTAAAGAATGAACCTGACCAGCACAGTTTTTGATGGCACCACAGACACAGTTCCTTTGGTAACAGAAAAACAAAACACTGATCAGCGATAGTGTGTAGTTGTTGTAATTCTTTGTGTGCATGATTATCACTAACTTTAAAATCTTTAGTCCTAAAAAAAGAAAAGAAAAAACATATGCTTTCTTCAAAAAAAGGTCACAACCATGTTCAATAAATGTTTCCTAATCTGCATCCCTAATCCCAAAAACGGATGAGAGACTGGCAGACTGTTAAATAATCTAGGAGATGTGAAGAATATTCGCCTCATTATTCCTCAGATTATTTTCTTCAGTTTTCCTCTTAGCTTCTGTTTCTACAATACATTTGTTTTCTGAGAATTAGTTAAACAGTTAATGTGCTTTAATCATCCTGTTATGAGAATTTTCTTACTGTATATTCATATAATCTTCATCATGAAACATTTTCCTTTGACAAGTGAAAGTTGACGCAAACATGAAATTATTAATAATAAATTGGTTTTCAGGAGGGTTTTTTTCTTTTTCCTCTGTTATTCTTCATTATTTTAATGCATCGTTTTAAGAGTTAAACCTGGAGCTAACAGTGAGCACAGAAATGTAAGATTGTGCTGTACTAATAAGAAACTGAACTCCACTCAGCGAATCACCTGGATGCTGCTAATAAACAGAGCATGTAACTAATGAAGCACTTAATTGTTTCAGTTTTCAGTGCAAGCGTTTGGTTTGAATAAAACATTCACGCAGCTGCCTCATGATGAAATGTCATCTCTGCCCTCCGTTATAACAAGAAGCCATCACCAACCAAACCTTTGCCAGTATTGTGTAAGTTGTTATATTGCATCCTGGCTGCAAGGTAGAGACCGCATTTGACAATCCAGAGGGGGGAGAGAGGGTGTAGAGGGGGGAGCTGCTGTATTGTAGTGCCTCCGGGCAGTGCTCCCAGTCAATATATATCTCCACACTCGCTCCTGCGCTCCCATTTGAGCGGGACGCGCTGCCCTCTCAGTTCCGCTGCAGAGCAGTGACAGCCAGCCTCACCGGGACGCTCTCTAGGTACGGATGATTACATTTCCTCTTTATTTTTATGTAGCTCATGGCATTCAAGCAGGTTAGTTTATTAAGATTAAGTGATATTTATAAAGAGAACTTAAGAAGAGGCCCTCTACATGGTGCTTTTGCTTGCACTAAGAAAATATTTTTTTTTATTATTTTCTTTGAACTGCACGGCTTTTATTTTTTAGATTTTGAAATATAAATTGCAATGTGAGTTTTTTTTTCTGAGATTAAATCTGATCATAATGTTATTTTGAATATAATGCAGTTTAATATATTCATTTATTTTATACACTTTTAAATTCAAAATTTAAACAGAATAGTTACAAATTTTACACATTTGCATTATAAAACGTAGTTTTTACACCTATTACATTAATTTTAACCCAGAATAATTAAACCTTGTATTAATTTATCAGCAGCAGCATCATCTGTTGTTTTGCTGCAAAACTTAAATGCCAGTAAATAACTTTATTTATACATGCAATCAATTTGAGGATTGTGTTTCTAGAAAAACGTTTTTTTCCAAAAATAGTTTGATTGCAATATCAAATAAAAACCTGTAATACTGAAAATGAAAGATGAAAAGGCAACAAGCAACAGACTATGATGATGAATGACACTAAAATTTTAATTCTTAAATCTTCTTTTTTCTTTTGCAGAATCTTTTTTCAGAGGGAGACACACAACAACAGATCATTCAGATCTTAGGTAAAGTATTTTATTTATTTTAATTTAATTTCAAGTATGAATTTAGAATTTTGTTAAGGCCTACAGCCTTTGTGTGCATTCACTTACTGTACAAATAGTGTGTCCCATAGGCTGTCAGTGGTGTGGTTGCTGTTGCATGTAACTTGTCAAAGCTTTTACTGTGGTGAACCTCCTTAATTGCAACAATAGATGTTCAAGCGGTGATGCTTGTTTGATCATCAGCCCTAAAAGCTTAAAACAAGACCGCAGGGTTTGGATATGGGGCAGCGGGGGGGCCAAAGTGCACAGTCAGTGGAGAGTCAAGCGGATAGCAGTGGCCAGGAGAGGGAAAAATCTACAGTAAAAATGATTTTTATTGATTGGCTCGTAGCAGCAGCTGTTAGGCTCCATTATGAGCTCAAAGCCCAGGTCAGAGCCCCGGGGCGGACAAGTGAGCCAATCAAATGGTCAGCCACCAACGGGCCAAGTCTGAGGGTCCAGTTGGGAGAGCAGTTGGCAACAGCCTGCCATCCTGTGTTAAGCTCACTGTGTCTTTCATCATCAACCTTTGTGCTGTGGGTGTTATTGATGAGGTTGTCCTCTGTCTCTCAGAATAACAGGCCATCCATCACCGGTGTTTGCTTCACTGGCCTTTATCTCAATTTTTTTTCTTTCTTTCTTCTTTTTTTTTTTTTTTTTTTGTCATGAGCAGTCTGTGTAAGACAGAAAAAGATTAGTTGGTGAAGTTTATTTTTGCCTCAGCTTGGACCCTGAGCATCACACAGACTTTCATCTTTGAATGACCTGGGGAAAAAGACAAAAATAAAAGCCTCAAAGCAGAGTGTTTTAAATTGAGGAGCACACTCTTCCTCACATCTTCTTTCACCGCAGGGTTTTCCCACCGGCTTGGCTTGAAGAATAAAAAGATCACAAAGTTTCTGTAATTTAACTGATGAAAAAAACCCATTGTGGGGTATTTAAATTTATTTTGAAGGATTAGAAGAGAGGGATATTAATTAAACTACAGGAGAGAACATTTCTAGGACAGAAACAGTGATGAGTAAATGGAAATGTGCAAATAGTAGATCACTTTAAAATGCTAAACTGGAGGTGTTTGCCACACATTTCACAAATGGAAGAAAGACAAAATAAAATAGTATTAAAAATAAGAATAAGAAATTAATTAAAATGTCCATTATGAAGGTTTTTTTAGCCTCTTTTATCAGACACAAGTTCTAAAATAATCATCCATCACAATAATTAAAGCTTTTTACATTTTATTTGTATACAGTATAGCTTATTCAGCACTTAAAAGCCTTATGATTACAATGTAATCTCCCATAATCTATGCGGTTACTGCTGATTGAGTAACAAAGTCTGACCGAACTCCAAATGCAGAGGTAGTAAGACGAGACAGGAGAGCAGTTGAACCTATGCACCATGTCCTGACCCAGATCCCAGTCCTGGCACTAATGACGCCCTATAGGCATGATGCCAGGCTCTCATTAGGAACCAGGCCTCAAACCCCCAACTCCTCTCCCTTCCATACCCGCCTCTACACAACCCTCAGCCTGGCCGTGCACTGCCTGTAGCTGGCCTCCGAGGGTCCAACCCCTAAACTCAAGCAGGCCTAAGAGTGCTTGTTGCGGGGGCCCCCTGCACAGGTGCAGAGTCCCCCTGTGACGGCCCCTGTTTGCCCCCCAGCCCTGGGCCCTGCTAGCCTTGTGACTTGTACTGCACTGGAACTAATGAGTAGTGGCAGGTACAGTGAGAACTGAGCAGCGTGGGCCTCCCTGCAGTTAGGTTAGTGGCAACCCTCAGCTTAGGCAGACAACAAATGTGCTCTCATAATACACATATGTGCATAATGATATATACCACCCTTCAGTGCACACACAACTTTATCTTGGATATTTGGATCCACACAGAGCTTCATTTCTGCAAGCTGTCTCCTTTTCTCAGTCACAAAGAACAAATAAGTGAGGAATATGTGAGATGTGTAGGCGAAGGATAATGTTACCTAATCTGTTTTTGATCTGTTGATCTGTTCTGCAGTTTTATTCATACAAAATTGTTCTGTTTGTTTCACAGATTCGTCAAGAAAATGCTCTTTTTCATCCCCATCCACCTACAAAACTGAGGAAAAACCTGCACTGAATGAAATGTACCTTGGCACAAAAGATAGAAAGTCTAAGCATCTATTTTGAATGATCAAAATTTGAATACAATCACAAAACCTTTATAAATATTAAGACTCAGTCATGTCTAAGGACGACGCCTGCAAAGTGACGTCTGCCAGCAAACACAAGGAGCGCAAGCCGAAGAAGCCTCACTATATTCCCCGTCCATGGGGCAAACCCTACAACTACAAATGCTTCCAGTGTCCTTTCACTTGCATGGAGAAGTCTCACCTGTACAACCATATGAAGTACAGCCTGTGTAAGAACTCCCTCTCTCTGCTCATAGAATCAGACTGGCCCTATAAAAAGGGCAACATCTTGCACCCAGACCAGCTACGACCCTTTCAGCAGGCACACGGTCTCCGTGCTCCTGGAAAGGATGAGCTAGAGCAGATGACACGGGCTGAGGAGCGACAGAGGCAGCGGAGGAGCACGGAGGAGGAAGGAGAGGACAGGGAAAGCCAGGGACCAGAGGAAGAAGAGGAGGGAGGACGGGGGGAGGGAGCAGAGATCGCCGGGCTGACGAAAGAGAGCTCCGGCAATAGCAGCAGCAGAGGAGACGCCACAGAGTGCGCTGCCAAGAAAACCAAACCGCCAGAGTCAGAGCTTCTGATGGCTGACATGCTCTCACTAGAAGACCAGCTTCTACGAGCACGCTCAGTAGAAGTAGAGGCCCAGCTCAAACACTATAAGCTCTCCAAGACCTGTCTCACAGCGCCCGGGCTGCTGACGGAGCAGTGGCGGCTGTTAACATCCAGCCAAACTAAGGCCAAGTCAGAAGGAGCTCAGCCCAGAGTGAGTAGCTCAATTCCCTGTTACCCTCCCCCACCAAACCTGGTGGACTACCAGGATCCCACCGGACTAAATCTGTCAGTGCTCGGGGTGGGCTATCCCATCAGCCCCAGCCTCTTCTCCTACATGAACTCAGCTATTCCCACTGCTGCCACCGGTGTCACCGCCCAGGCCCACGCACAGCTCGCCCAGCTACCCTTCCTGGCGTCGGCCGCTCAGCTGATGCACCCAGCCTCCGGAACGCACACAGACAGAGCTCTCATCCCCCCTCGTCTCTACTACCCGTTCCTGTGTGAGCACACGTTCGGAGCGGCCTCCACTCAGAGTGATAGCAGCAAAGGACTCAAGACGTCCACAAACAGTCTAGAGGCAAATCCCCTGTCTGGCTTCCAGCCTAAAGTCAACCTGTGGAAAGTGCCGGCTTTGCGGCCAGGGACCACCGCTGTCTCCCCTGCTGGCTGGGTGTCACCTCAGAGAGACTCCCCCGATCAGGGCTACAGGTTGGGGGATAAAGCGCCAGCCACAGCGAAGGAAGGCAAAGCAAGCTGGGGGCTAAAGAGGACGGGGGCTCCACTGGGGAACCATGAGGCACCTGTGGAGAAGAAGCCAGCCATGGGCTTCACTTTGGACCTGCTGAAGAATATTCAGACTGCATCGACTCTTAACATGGCAGCGGACAAACTTCTCTTCCAGAACAGGTAAAGATTTTCTTTCATTTGACTTTTCTTATTTTAGAATAATTATTGTGACTTGTAAAAAGAATAGTAGGAGGAGTACCATCACCACTTTTGTCATAATATCTGCAGTGTAGATTCGACAGGTTAGGAGACATTAAACATTAAAGGTTTCCATTTACAAAGTTTCTAAATTTTATCCTATCCACAGTTTACAGGACGCTCAGCTTCAGCCCCGGCCCACTGAACTGTGGTACAACGATCCTCTCACCAGTCCCAACAGTGAAACATCCTCCCTTTCAACATGTGGCGGGCCCAACAGCCAAGACTCGACTGCTGCTCGGACAATGGGAGAGGGAGCATCAGAGTCGGTGGCTGCTCTCCTGAGTGACCTCTCCAAGGCCTTGCAGGAGTACCAAGAGGCTGAGCGCAAAATCTCCCACCTGGAGAAGGAGGACCTTCCTGCCCAGCGCCACCTCTGGGAACACCTGAGCAAAATCCGCAGCGAGCTCTCCCACATCCACCAGGCGCTGGAGCGGACAGCTCGCCAGAGCGACGGGCCTCTGGACCTGTCAGTGAAGAGGGACTCGACAGATTTGGCTGGTGACCAGGGCATGAGAGAGGACAGCAGTCTTAAGGACAACGGTACAGAGTCAGAGGAGGAGGACGAGGAGCTGGAGGAGAAAAAGGAGGAGGAGGAGGATGAGAGTGAGAGGAAGGCGATGAGGGCTTCGTTGGAGAGTCGTAAGCAGTCGTTGGACATGTTGATCAAGATGAGTCAGGCATCAGTGGTAAACACAGAGGTTCTGTCTCCCGGCGGTCTCAGCATCAGGCCCAGCCCGGCTGAGGCCCTGTGGCCGAGCAGAACCACTAAGTGTGAGGCAGACTCCAGCGTCCTGCTCTGCCCCGACGGCCGATCAGTGGTGTTCACCGACATCCCTGCCTCCGCCAAAACCTCAAAGAGACCCCCGTCCATACAGCGACTAGAAGCTCAGTGTCCGCCAAGCCCTTTGACGGCTACTGACAACTAAACCTCTGCTCCTCTGACTGTAATATAACTGATTCTGTACTGTCCACATATGCAGTTGTCTTTGTAGTCGCTGGCATGGCTTTGATTTTCACTGGCTGGAAGAGGACCGTCACGCTTATTCTCAGTTTACCTTCACAGAAACCTCACATATTTTGCACCTTATGAGAAAAATGAATGATAATTTGAAAGAGAAGGATTTCTAATGCACTAAGAACATTGATTGTTACTATAAGATTCTTATTAAAATGATTTAAAAATGTAACATCAGCACTTAATATTTTCCATCAGGATAATTGAAACAATGAAGTCCATTAAAATCATGCTGAGAGACAATCCTTTGAATGGATTTGTAAATATTGTAATTACAATAAATGTAAGTAAAACATTTTAAAGGGTAAATGGTTTTATATGGATGATGTATTGTTGGGCTGCATCATTTAACTTGATGAAATAAAATGTATTATACACACTGTATTTCTTTGAATAAACTGAGTAAAAAACATAGTTTCATTCTTTTTATGAAAGTGTAACAATAAAAGGGAAAATGGGAACAAAATGAGGGACAAGAAACACAAGAAGTGATGAAATAATAATAGATTTTCATTAAATTGTATAAAAGAAAAAAAACTGTAATGTTGTTTCAATACAGTCCCTTTTGGGGGGAGTGTGAGGCTAAGTGCTGTCATCACGATCATTTAGTCTAAATAAGAGACAAACAGATCCATAGTGGCAGCTCCACCTCACTTCTCTATCTGCCCTGACATAGTCGGGTGGCGGCGCTAAAGGTGAAGTAGCTCCTTGAGCTAAATCACCATCAGTGGGGTTACCTGTGCCTCTGCTCCTGAATCCAGGAGCCCCCCTGCAAAGGTCAGAGCCCCTGGGGCCGAGCTCCACGTTGGTTAAAAGGAGGACTACCTGTCTGCCCCCAGGGATGAGCACCCAGCGCTGGGCTGCTCCGCCTCCTCTGGCCCCTTCACCACCTTCACACTCAAGACGGAGCGGCAAAGGTCAGCTGCCACGACCAGAGGAGCCACCAGTGGACGTTCAGTCTGAAGAGGTCAAAATGCCTGTCTGATGCTTTTTTTTCAATTTATATTTGATATTTGCTGAATATCTTAATTGAGTTATTACATACACACACACACACACACACACACACACACACACTGTATACATACAGTATGTATATATTTGAAGTTAAGCGTCAGGCAGAAACATTCGATATGTCCACCACAACAAATTAAAAAATAAAAAGAAAGACCAGTAGAAATATTTCGATATTTTGTTCCTAGATTTGTGTCTAAAGCAGAGCTTTAAAAATGAACTGCATGCAGATCCTGCGATGCTTTGAAGAGCAAGATTTTAGACACTTTTAATCTAAAGTTTTAAGAAACCAGTTTGTTGGTGATTCCCCTGAAAAAGTAATATGTTAATATCATAATGTTAGCAAACCAGCAAATTGCCCCTGGCTGGTTTCAGGTTTTCTGCTCTCTCTGGATAATATTGCTCTGGACTGTAACGTTGCTGATGGCTCCCTCATGTGGACAAAAGATTTAGAGCCATGTGAGTTTTGCTCATGCACGCTACTGTCAGTACTGGAACAGTACAAGAACTGCCTTCAGAAGGTTGAATACAGTGAGACTAAACAACATCCTTCCTCAAAAGGAGACTGATTTATTTAGACAACCATGAACCTTTAGAGAACTGCAGTCTTTTAAAAAAGGAAGTGGAGTTCTGCAACTTAAAGCAGCATAAGACGATAATAAAAGGGTAAGTTTTAATATTTTACTTGAATTGTTATGGTTGGAATATGCTTAATGATGCTGTCATAATACTCAAATTTAGATACATTTAATGTCAAAGAAAACGTCTTTTCAAATTAGCTCTGCAAAAGTTGTAACATTAATCTAATATTCTGAAAGTTGATTTTTCCCAAGCAATTAGGAAGAGCGGAGAGGTAAAGGATTTTTATTGGATAAAAACAATGATTTCTCTTGTTGTTTGACTGACCATTCACAGTAAATCCTCCTTGTCATATAACCATGTTAGGACTGATGCAGCGTTTATTTCCATAGAATGAATGTTATTTAAAATTGTAATATAGTTTAATTAAACAAAGTTTGAAATTTAAAAAAAGTTAAATTTTTCATTGCAGTAATGTCTCAACAAACAATTCAAGACTGCAATTGATCACTTCCACTTTTGGTCATATGTACTTGTATCTAGATGTGGCTGCTTTCAAAGGGGATATTTATGTTACACAGCGGAGAAAACCTTAAACATTAAAGCAACTATAATCAATATTTTTTATAATAGTAATGTATCAAATGACAACATGAAAACTATGTGACAGTGTGAAAGAGGTCGCTCTTGGTGATGAACCTAAGAGAGCATTATCGCCGCTCTCTGCAGCTTATGAAGTTTTATGGCAAGTTCCAGTTGATTGTGTTGATGATCTCATTGCAGTTTTACACAAAATAGAAGCGATTTATTAGTCAACAAAACACAATTGCAAATGATCTGTGTTTTCCACTGAGTGATGTTATGGTAATAAAGCTGGGTTTTTTCCTTTCACACCTTGTTTCTGTTGCCTGCAAGAGGCCCCCCCCCCCCCCCAAAAAAAAAGAATCATTCCATTTTCTTAATAAGAACATTTCAACAGAGCTGCTTTGTGAGATTCTTTTTTAACTTACCCACTGACTTTTCAATCTGAATCCACTTTTAGATTTCTTTGGTTTGACCTCTGTGCAGTCCGTGACCAAGGAGTTGCCAAGTGATGATGGTGCAAATCGTCCTGTTCCTGCTTCTGCTCAACACCTCGGCCTGCTGCGGTTTTGGCTTTCGAGGCTGCTCTCAGAACTACCCCGCGACCAATATCATGTGGTGCTTCAACCAGAACATCGCCAACTTGTCTGATGTCATTAGCATGATCCCTGATAACGTAACAACAATCAACCTGTCCAAGAACAAGATCAGAGTCATCCCACCTGGATCATTCAGCCAGGTGCTTGGGCTCAAAAACTTGGACCTGAGCCAGAACCAGCTGGACTCTCTAAAAGGAGGAGAATTCAGAGGCCTGGTTGTCCTGGATCTCCTCAACCTTACCAGCAATAACATCTCCAGCATCCACTCCAGTGTCTTTGAGGGACTCACCAGGCTTCGAACTCTTCTTCTGCCCTTCAACAGACTTGCAACAATTTCACCAGGTATCTTTAATTACCTTTCAGCGATTCACGAAGTCGACCTGTCTCTCAACATGCTCAAGACTTTCAGCTGTGTAGAGTCTGGAGGCTCCTCCACTCTTAAGCGTCTCCATCTTTTTGCAAACTACATCCAGAGGGTAAATGTGAGCTGCTTCCCTGCCCTTGAGTACATCAGGCTGTCCAATAACTCAAAGCTGGAGCTGCAGGCAGATGTTTTTGCCTCCAACCCAAGGCTGAAGTTTCTGCTTCTTCAGAGAGTGAAAGTGGAAGCGCTGGTGGGACTCTCTATGGACACAAAGAGGAATCTCTCTTGGGTGGCATTTTCTCTGTTTTTGGACAAATCTCCTCTGACTGTCTGTAGAGTGATAGAAGGAATGGACCAGCTTAATAGAATAGAGGTATGTGTACTCCTTGTAAAGCAGAATCTCTCTGCATATGCAAAATCAATGTTTTCGTTGATGTCCTTTAAAGAAATATGTCAATTTCAACTTGATACAGGTTGACCTGAAAGGATCCAGGTTACCACAACATAACTCCAGCCTGCTGAACTGTTCCGCCCCAGCAGTCGTCATTATTATGGATGCAAACTTTGGTAATGTTGCCCATTTGTCACTGGGTAAAGGGAACACGAGCGGCCTTTATCTCATTAACTGTGGGTTGAAGCAGATATCTTACACGACATTTGACGGTTTCCAAGGACTGAAAACGCTGCAGCTGAATCAAAATAAGATCGTTGTTCAGCAGGATGCATTCAAAGGCCTGACCGATCTCACCTCTTTGAGTTTTGACAGGAGCAAAATACGTGACATCGACCCAAACTGGTTTGTCCCTCTGAAGAAGCTGACTCGTCTCTCTCTCATAAAGAATGAAGTCCTTGATTTGGCACCAAAGGTGTTCAGTGCTCTCACCCAACTTGAGCAGCTCTACTTGCAGTTCAACCTGCTGAAATACATCACGAAGAAGCCTTTCAGTAAGCTGCGGAAGCTAACCAAGCTCAACCTCAGTTTGAACATCATTGATTTCATCGAAGAGGGTTCCTTCCAAGACCTGACAAGTCTGAGGTATTCATGATTCTCTGCTTGTGTATTCATCTTTTCTCTCTGCCCATTTATCTAACACATCCTTTTATCCATTAGATACCTGGACTTAAGTGGAAACCACATCAAGAGACTCACACCATCTATTCTGTCTGGACTTGTAAATTTGAGGACATTTGTTCTGTACAACAACCGCCTCCATTTTAGATCTTACGAATCTCCTTTCATCAACCTTACTTCTCTGCAGGTAAATGCGTTTCTTTGAGGCAGGAATATGCTCTTCCTGCTCAGTAGAGGAAGAGGAATGCACTGTGTGAATAAATCTTCCTTTCTGTTTCTGTATCTGTCTGTCTTCCATGTCCATTTTGGAGTATCTGGAGATGAACTACCAGGGGCCTGGAGGTCGGGGCATTGGGGATATTGGGCCGCATTTCTTCCAAGGTCAACGTCAACTTATCTGTGTTGGGATTGGGCACAGCATCTTGCTCAACATCCACCCTGATGCTTTCAGTCCTCTGGTGAATTTGAAGCAACTGTATATAGCTGGAGTGATTATGAAAACGACCAACCTGAGTGCAGTGTTCTCCCCTCTGAAAAGGCTGAAGAAGCTGACTCTTTACAGGGCCGACCTCGACACTCTGCCTGCTAACCTGTTGCCTCCAGATAATGCACTGGAAGTTCTCAAAGTCCAGTCAAACCACCTCCACACTGTGGACAAAATGACGCTGGATGCTCTGCCAAGGTAGAGGAGCCACCGCTGGCAGCAGCTTCGTATTTACCTTATAGTCACGACAGCGGTATCAAGCTTCTCATCTACCTCTTGGCAAAAAAGTGAAGAGGTGTATTTGTTATGATAAGTTCACGGGTTTCCAACTCAAACCCAGTTGCTTTACATCATTCATGACGGTGCATCACCACCTGCTTTAGTCTGAAGAAACATGACCCATCACTGCACTTCCTGAGTGAGCCTAAATATACAGTAGTCCAGACACCATGATGAATCTTACAAGATGATCACATGTATATTCATGTTCAACTTCGATTTCAGCTAAAAACAAATTTCAGTAAAATAATGTCAATCAACATTCTGTATTTCATTTCACTATGTGGTGAGTTTCCCCCTTTTCAGCACTAAATTTATCAGAAGACCTAAGCGATCACCCTGTCAGAATGTAAAGAGCAGGTAATTTAAAACCATCAGTGAAATTGTCCGAGACATGATCACAGAGAATGTGGAAACAACTTTTTAACAAAGCCGAGGCAGAAAAACAGTAACGTTCCCTTTAATACTTAGGTGAAGAACTGGGTCTAAATCTACCCTGCAATTTCTGTTTTTTTTTTTAAAGTAACACCTATTCAACAAGCACTGAACTTCATTTCCTTCCCTATAGACAAAAGTTGTGAATATGACACTTCTCTATACTGTGTTCACATGTTCTTTGACGTGTTTCAGGACCTCAGTCACTGATTCAAATGTATAAAATACAGGCACCTTCCTAAGTACAACATAAATATCTACTCTGGCAAAAAAAAAAAAGCCAGTCATACTTTGTACTGCATTCATTATATGATACACGAGAACCTGTATTTTCCTAAGGTGAGAAAAGGTCAGTCACACATGTGCCTTCTACCACATTCTGATTTCACATCCTCCTCACCCTCACCAGATAAAGTGACAGTCTAATAACTGCATCACAAAACCAGACGGATGATCCCTGTCAAATAGACACACTATGAATGAGCAACAAATGAATGAGGTACTGCCTCTGTGTCAACTTTACCTGTACTAGTACACAGGTATTTTTGTATGAATTTGAATTGAATCAAACTGTCAGCCTTGGTGTATGTTTGTGTGTGTCCAGATTGCGTACATTGGACATTACAGAAAACCCCCTCACCTGCACCTGTGAGAACGCCTGGTTCAAGAGCTGGGCGATCCATAATGCTCATACACAGGTGCAGAAATTAATATATGTTATCAATCAAATAAAAGTACATGGCTGTAACTTTCTTTGACTGTTCAAATGAAACAATTTCCTTGTTTTTTCCTGTTAAATTCCCTCCAGGTGCCCTACCTGTACAACCTCCAGTGTGACAACGACCGGAGAGCTGCCTACCTGTGGCAGTTTAATGATAAGGCTTGCTCCTATGAGGAGGTTTCCTTAACTCTCTTCATCACCTGCTCTGTGATGGATGTGTTGTTTGTATGTTTGTGTCTGGCCTGGCACACACAGGGTCCTGCCATACGCTACCTGCTGCTCATCCTCAAGGCAAAACTACGCGGACGTAGAGGGGCAGCAGGGACCAAATTCCAGTACGACGCCTTTGTTTCCTACAGCTCTAAGGACGAGGCCTGGGTGATGGGACAGCTGGTGCCCAGTCTAGAGAGGCCAGCTGCTGGTGCACAGAGGCTCAGACTGTGCCTCCACCACAGAGACTTCCGCCCCGGCACAGCTGTCCTGGAGAACATCGAGGCAGCCATCTACAGCGCTCGCCACACCATCTGTGTGGTGACACGTCACTTCCTGCGCAGTGAGTGGTGCTCCGTGGAGTTTCAGCTGGCCAGTCTGAGGCTTCTGTGTGATGGCAGTGACGTCCTGCTGCTGGTCTTCCTGGAGGAGATACCTCAACACTGTCTGTCTCCCTACACGCGCCTGCGCAAGATTGTCCGCAAGAAGACCTACCTGCTGTGGCCTGAGAAACCAGAGGAGCAGGACGCTTTCTGGGTCAGACTGAGAGATGCTTTGAAAGACGAGGAGGAGGAGGAGGAGGAGGGAGGAAGAGGAGGAGAGGCTGAGTTGGCTCGGCTGATTGGCTAGAAAAAATGCTATTTTAACATGGCCGTAGTTACCTTTTCACAACCTGATGAGTGTGCATTGCATCAGAAACCTTTAAATTTTCAGGCTGTTAAATAAAGAGTAATGTAAAAACAAAGAAAATACTCAACAACAGCCAACTGCAATTAAGGTAGCAGTAAACTGTAGTAGTGGAATTACTCAGTATAATAACATAGTGATGTCAATAAAAATAAATTAGACCAGATGTAATAAAACAGATGTAATAAAACATTTATTGTATTAGACTGAGACTTACTTAGACTAAAGAATGTGTTGCTGTCTGACACGTGTTACAAAAGAAACTGGGTTAACCGTTGCTATGTATTATGTTGTATTCGGCTTTAACACTTCATCACTGCTGCCAGATAAAAAGTCAAAGCCACAGTAGTTCTTTTCAGAGTACCTCTCCATGGCTTATAATAATAACAAAGTGCTGTAATTATCACTCTGTAGCCTGTGAAGTGTAGCGTGTCGTTTTTTCATACCGAGAAAGTTCACACCTGGTCAAATCTGTACAAAAGAGTAGTTACAAGATGGGTTGTCAAAAGCTTTTTATATTGACAATAATCCCTGTAAGCAGTATTTCGCTGCTGTAGTAGGTCAAGGTGGAGCAACTTTATATACAGTACAGTAGTTTAGACCAGTGGCTCTCAAACTAAGGTTCAGGCCCCTACAAAGAGTCGCAAGATTAATCTGTGGGGTTATGACATAATTAAGGTCGTGATGAAGAAAAACGAACAGATCTGTTTTCATTTGTTGGGCTTCTATCTGAACTTTGCTCTTCTCTTTTCAGTCTGAAAAGTAATTAGCAGCTATAGTTGTCAGATAAATGTGGTGGCGTAGAAAGTACATTTCTCTTCAACATGTTCACCAGAAGTAAAAAGTAGTATGAAATGGAAATACTCACATAAATGTACCTCAACTTTGTACTTCAGTACAACACTTGAGTAAATGTAAAAAAGCAGTGATTCTCCTCTGCACTATCTGCACTGTCTATTACAGGTCTCCATCACCACGGATGTTTACCGGAATATCGCAAGGCTTTTGATTGTTTCAGGGTACACAAGCTCACTCAAGCATGTGAAAAATACAACCGCAAGATGTCCAAACACTTCATTTATTTGACGTTATACATTCAAATGAAAATAAAAAATATTCATATATATATTTCATATAGAGCTAGTGAGCAAGGTACAAGTTTAAAACAAAACACAGAAGTCTTCCGTGTGGCATATATATACAAGGCGTGGTTTGAATACTATACAGTGTGTATCCATAGCTGCACAGGTTTCATGGATGTTTATATTCTTCACTCAGTTGAGGCACGACTAGATTTTCAGTGAGAGGTCAGGGATTGGGCCAAGTGCTTCAAGACTGTCGCTTACAGTAAAACATTTCAATCTCAACACCTAAACAGTAGGACTTGCAAAGCAAAGCTTATTAGTGTTAAGAGTTCCACACTAAAGCATAAAGTAGGAAAATGAGGCAACATGATCATTCTGCAAATCAAATTATACTGTACAGTCATGCAAAGTCCTAAATAGTTTCAGCTTTTATGAGATGATATTCTCACACCAAAGTCAAAACTGAGCAAACACAAGTTCAGGTTTTAAGAAACTTAAAAAAAAAAAAAAAAAAAAAAAAAAAAAACCCAAAACCAAAAAAAAAAAAAAAAAAAAAAAAAAATCCAGTATCACTAACAAGTCACGGCTGTTCACTAAGTTTGACAGAAGTCAGGATGTTTGGTTGCACTGCAATAATTGACTCGAAGTCACTACACCAATTTGAGACAAAAAAAGCTTCCTCAAGTAGTCAAGTGATAAGTGCAATCCCACCCCCCTTCCCCCCCCTCACACACAGACACACCATTTTTTATAAAACTCTCATACACAAGCAAGTTAAGCATCACATTGTTTTCTACTATCAATCAAACCATAGTTATAGTACAGCAGATGCCCCAACAATCAACAGCAAACCATACTCTTACATATATCCAGTAGTTATGTACAACAGAACTGGTGCAACATTAAACACATTAAAAATTATTAGATATAGAAACTGTAACAATAATAAAATACAGCAGATACTTAATTCATATTGGGAAATATATATTATTCATACTGTGTATTGCTGTCTGTTTTGGCATTTTGGAGGATCAATAAAAATGCTGTCATGTATCCCTCTCACAGCTTATTTGACACATCTCCAACTTGGACAGATTATACATCTATGTGTTTTTAAAGAAATCTAACACAGGATTGATTCAGTAAAACTTTTTACTATTAAAAAAAAAAAAAATTAAACAAATATATGACAACTTATCAGAGGCATGGAAGCAGCAGGTCCATGTTAAGCATCGACCTTTATAGATTTATTCCATTACCTATAAGAGTCTTCAGCTGATGCTGGCATGACTGTAGAAACCGGACCAAAAACCAAGGCCAGGAAAGAGAAAAGAAACTTCAGATTCTTGATATTCAAATCTTTTTGGAATCTTTTGCCTCAAAAAGCTTCATGCGCTCCTGCACGGTAAGTCCCTCTTTCAGGCTCTGTTAAAGAGAGGAAAAGTAAAGTCAATTATTTTTAACAGGATGATAAGCGCTCATGTTGGCAGAGAGGAGTGTTAAAAAAAAAAAACAAAGAACACAAACACACACAGACACCACCAAACACCAACTGTGGATCCCAGAGGTTTTCCTGCTCTGGATGACACACTTTAATTCAGGTCAAAATAAAAAACAGACGGAAAAAAAGTGGTTATGCTGGATTATGGTCATGCCACACAAAACAACCCAGTGGTGTGCACAACACTCGAGTAAATTCAAACACTGATGATTCAAAGACTCACAAAACAGACAAAAAACAACTGTTACAGAAAGGGTTTTTACATTAACAGAGCAAAACAACGTTGGAACATGTGAGATGTGTTGAATAAACAAGGATCCCTCTATATGATGATACGAGTTCGTTCATTAGTCCACTGACGAGCAAGACTGATATTCACAAACTACTGCTACCTCTGCCTGTCAAATTACTTGACTTTGTTAAATATTAAATATGACTAAGCCGAAACACTATTACATTAGGCGTTGGACTATTACAGAAACTGTTCGAGTGTTTGGGAAATTCACTTGATACTACTCTCAATTGCTTGCTAAATATGAAGTTACAGCCAGAAGCAAATTAGCTTATTTTAGCTTAGCATATGTATGGATTGAACAAACAAGATATATTGAGTTAATTGGTGAGCTTTAGAGGGGCTGGTGTGCCTAGCCTGTCTACAGCTGTTTCTTCCCTTTCCAGTCTTTATGCTAAGCTAAGATAACTGGCTGCTGGCTACAGCTTCATGTTTATGAATGGACGTGACAGTGGTTTTGATTTTACTCGTCTCACGCTTGGCAAAAATTTGAAAAAGTATATTTCCCAAAATGATGAGCTGCTCTTTTAAACGTACTGTATGGGAGAGGGATGTAACCAGAGAGGTTTTTGCACGACACACTAAGATCTGTTAATGCTCACACCTGTGATATTCATCTGAGGGGAGGTGCAGGTTGGGGCAAAAAGGAAGGGGTGGGATAGGGGAGATCATGCAAGGGTGGTAAGAGCATGCTTTGCTCTATGTCATGCTATACCTACAGCACATCTTGGGGCGGGGGTTGGGGGTAAATCACCCCACAATGGGAGTGTCAGCTATCCCATGAGACCTGTTCAGTGACAGACTGATGGACAAAACAAGACAGATGACAAACTTATGGGACAAGAGACTTTCAGTGACAATGTCCTGACCGGCTAACTCTGGAACACATTTCTACAGTAGGTGGTGGCTGAGTTGCAACAACTAACACTGATAAAGTCTGCACAACACGACCCTGAAACACCACCTCACACAGCAAACTGGAACTGTAGCTTTAGAGTGTGTGGGTTTGGATCTGAGATAAAAACGCTGGTAATTAGGGAAAGAAACAGGGAAACGATTTCATTAAATCTGACACTCACCTTTGACCTTATGCCTCTTAATTGCTTGGAGGTTGTTGATTGTTCTTTTTTAATAAAATCTGGATTACTTTTTGATTTCATGATATCTGAAAACACAATGAAGGCATGTCATTATTATCATGAACATCAGGTAGCATAATAGCATCAGAAGTGTAATTTGCCAAGCCCTTGAACTGATACAAATCCAATCTAACAGCTACTCTGGTTATGCTTTTTGACATATGTTAATCTGAGTTGCATCATAACATCACTCCTGAATGGTCACATTACTGACAAAAATCTTTGGCATTGAAAACAAATAAGATTTAGGTTAATTTAACTCATTCAGGGTTTAATAATAATAAAACCGAATCTGTTCTACTTACCGTATCCAGACGTGACTGTTCCATCCACAGTCCTCTCGCCTAAAGCTTCTGTGGCGATGAGAAGTTTCTCCTTCAGTTTGCTGATGTCACAGTCAGCCTTTGCTTTCACAATACTGAGCTCTGTATATATGTCCTTATATTTGTCTGTGGCATATTTCTTGTCCTGGGACAAGAAATCAATGATACATCCTCAGTTTTTGTTTTATTTTGTTAAAAGTCATGAAGTAGTACGGCTACATACCTTCAATAAATTACCATTTGTTTTGCTTACCCTTAAAGCAGACTGCAGTTCATCTTTCAAAGAGTGGATTTCCTGTTTAAGGTACTGGATCTCTGACTCCTTAATTCTCAGCAACACCTACGTCATGGAGACAGACACTCATAAGATTAAAGATTAACTCACCAGTATGTGTGTGCGTTTTTTGCATGTTGCATGTTTAAATACCTCCAGTTCATACACATCTTTGCCCTGGGTGAGTGGTGACATCGCCGTTTCTCCGCTGAAACAGGATCGCATCCGAGTGATCTCTGCACTCAGTCTGTTATTTAATTCCTGCAGGGAAGAAGAAAGTTGTGCTGTACTTCTGTGGACAGAAATGTATTTGTATGTACATGTGCATGTATGTGCATTCAAACCTGGTTGTGAGCATTTAGCTCCTGGTTCTCTCTCTGACACTGCCTGAGGGCCTGCCTCTCGGCCTCCAGCGCCTGGGCCAGGTGAGCGTTTTCCAGACATTTCTGAGAATACTGCTCTGACAACACCTCCAGTTCTCTCTGGATGGACTGCAGCTCCTCCCTAGATAGACACATCATCATAGGATCAACTGGAGCTCTCTGCTGATGTTTAACAAATATGTTTGAGTTTTTCCCAGAGAAAAGAGAGTGGATCCTTTTCATCATGATAGCAATTTTAAGTTTAACTGCAACACAGACTCAACATGCTGTATGGATTCTTTGACCATCCCACCTGAGCCATAAATATGATGTGACAAGCAAAGTCAAAACTTTAACAGTATTTTCAGGATTTGAATTTCAAGCTTTACCTCTGCATGCCTCAAACTTGTAACATGTTTTTTCAATAAAAGAAGGAGGTGGTCAAATTAACATTTATGCTCCTTTTCTGGCAAATGTGCTTCTCATTTGTAAAGTTTAATAGTTTTGATGTTCTTGTCAAAAACACATACTCGTATTGTAAGCGAAGCTCATCAATGTCAGAGTTCAGTCCACTCAGTTGTGAGCGCTGGGTCTTCTCCAGTTCCTCCTTGTGTGCATTTTTCATAGCTTCAATAGCTACATTAAAGACAGATCACACACATTTAATTATAGTATGACAGTCTTATTTCAAGTATAGAAATTATGGGTGGTAATAGAATTTATTTCTTTACCAGCAATTGTTGCGGCAGTCTCCTCAGCCAACAGTCTCTCTCGCTCCTCCATAAGTTTGGAAATCTCCCTCTGATGCTGCCTCTGGATGTCTTCTATCACCTTCTGGTGTGTTTCTTCCATTGCAGCAAAGCCACGTTCGCATGTGGCCTACAGAAGGAAAAGGTCAAAATTCGGTCATCCCATGATTGATTTTGCACACGATTTACCGCCTGTATTTTAATTTGTGACTATTGATTCAGTGTGATATCTAATACTAGTTCACTACATGGTGTGTCATGCAAAATCAGTGACAGAAGCCATGCAAGCTGTTTTTATGATCTAAAGCCCAGCTATGTTAGTAAGAGAGCAAGTTAAAGCAGTAAAATTCTACTCCAGCGAGGCTGCATTGTTGTTATTGATAGACCATAATTCCTTCTATTACTGAATGTGGGAAATGGTGTCTATTGATGCCCTAATGAAGAAGCAATGTTGGAAGCAAGTGAGACATCTTTGACTTTTAATTGTCAGAATGCAGTCAAGTGTTGACAACCTGCAACTGATTGCTTTGCTTCATTATGTAAAACTGCTAGGAATGTCCAAAACTGATCCACAGGACTAAACCTTCCTGGCACAACACATCCACATGGACACTCATCTCTCCACTGTAACTATAGTATATTACACAGAGATTAAAAAATAAATATAAATTAATAAGGCCCTTGTCTAATCTTGCTAACAACTCTGTGAAGTAACAGGCTTTGGGCTACATGTCAAGGTCAACATGCTAACATAATCATAATGACAATATTAACATGCTGATGTCTAGCTTAATGTTTACCATGATCACCATACAATTAATCATTTGGGAGCCATTAAAGGAACAAACTTCATGTCAATCTGTCCAATATTTGCAGTCGACCAAAGTGGCGCACTGGCTGACAAACAATACCATTCCTGGAACCACACTGCGAACTTGGCTAAAATGCTTAGGGTCTTGTGTTTCAGGAAAACAACAGAAACAAAAACAGTAGTTCGGGACATCCCTAAAAGCTTATAAGCTTAAATTACAATCATGTTACAATTTGTACACACAGTGATCTAGGTTTCAGTTTTAAAATTTACAAGTATTGGCAAATCACACCATTTCCCACTTCGAAATCATCAGTGAATATTAGTAGACTGACGAACAAATGCAACAAGTTAGTTATTTCACTATTTATCTACTACTCTCTCACTTTTAAAAAAATGAATTCACTAAGGTAATATTGAAAGAACAAAAACCTTAAGACTTTCAAAGTCTCTCTGGTATTTCTCTCTCAGGCTGGCCACATCTCCTTCGAGGTGCTTGTTCTCCAGTTCATCCCTCATGGTGTTCATCTGAGTCTCCAGCTCCTGAATCCGGTCCTTCAGAACCACCATGGAGTCCACCTCGGACATATTTTGTGCTTCCTCCCCCTTCCCCTGCTCCTCCTCTTCCATTGGTACTATGGCCTCATCACATGGTGGCGAGTGTGAAACCTCAGGGCCTTTTTGGTCATGCAGTTGCTCTTTGACACATTGAATGCTTTCCTCATACTCAGAATGTAACTTTTGAATCTTGTCGATGTGGATGTGCTGGAGCTCACAGATCCTCTGCTCAAACTGCTCCTCCAGTTTCCTCACATGACTCTCGTGCCGCTCCTTCATGGTGTCCATGTCCACCAGCAGGACCTCTAACTTTCGTTGGCTGTCAGATATCGTCTCCATGAGGGCCAGCTCCGTTGAAGCACGGCCTTGCTCTGCTTGGCGTAGCTCCTTCTTGTGCCTCTCATTCAGCTCTTTAGTGTCCTTCTGGTAATGCTCCTCCAGGAGGGCCAGGTGCTGCTGCTGCTGGGAGAGCTGGTTCACACGTTTGCTGATCTCACTCTTCAGTGTTTGGTTCTCAATCTGGAGAGCGGCCACCGTCTGTGTGAAGCTCAGACGCTCCTCCTGTAAGGACGCTTCGTATTTCTCTTGGATTGCACTGACGTTGCGGGCATGCTGCTGGACAAGAGCATCCATGTTCTGACCTGTCTGTTTACACCAGCCCAAATCTTGTTCATGCATGGCCCGTAACCTGCATGCCACATAAGCCACTTGAGCCTGGATAAGGGCTTCACGCATACAAAGAGAAGTACTTGTGAAATTATGTGAAGTTTGGTGCCCGAAAAGAGCGTGGATCATTTTAGCCAGCCCAGGATGGTTTCCACCACTTTCTATCTCTTGGGCATACTTATTGAGGACTGCTGCTTGTCTCTGAAGCTCATTAGCCAGGTTGTCATGTGCATTTTGCAGTGTTTCAATAGAGTCAACGCCACACGAGGGCATCCCTCCAGCCAAGTGTCTGTCTACAATTTCCTCAGCCAGGTCTCGAGCTGATTCCATTTCAATCTGCTCCATGTAGGGCGCAAGTTCAGGGGGTCGAATGTCAGCCAACTTTTGTTTACTAAACCCAAAGTTATATTTGACTTCTTTTATTACATTTTTCAAATCAGGCCTTTTGGAAGCTTCAATAATTGCTTTCAGAGCCATTTCCCTTTGCTGTACATTATTATGAGCTTCAGTCAACTCCCTTTTCAGTATTTTGAATTTCTCTTCATAGCAAAGTTTAAGGTTTTGAATTGAATAGGCTAGTTCTGCTTTAATTAAGGTGTTAAAGATCGTGGCATCAACATCCACATCAGCTGACACACTGCCCTCTTTGCATTTACCAACATCTGTCTCAGCTTTCTCCAACTCTTTCCAGAATGCACTCTCTAACATCAACTTCCTGGTCAAGACATCAGCGTAAACTATAGACAAGCAATCTTTGTCACTCCTTTTAATGTTCTCTATGTCTTCCCATATCTCCGCAAGAGCTTGTAGGATGTCAGACTTTGAAGTCTGCATTAACAAAGCCATCTTGTTCAAAACTACTGCCTCATAAGACAAGGTTTTGGCAAAGAGGTGCAAAGCTTCTTTATCTAGAGTCTCTGGAGTTTGATTCTGATGGACAACTGGTATTTGCTCTTCCAATGTCTTTTGTCCTTGTCGGATGTACAGTGACGCATTGAACAAGTCGCTCTCTATCTCTGACAATGAATGCAGCTGTGAACCAGTGGAATCATGAGAGCCACTGAGAATAGCCCTGACTTTCTCTCGACTATTTTCCACGCACGCCAGGGCCTTGGCGTAATGCTTATTGGCAGGAGTACTCTCTATCCCACTTCCACAACTGAACTCTTTCTCTGGGTAGTGCTTATTTTCTGTCAAATTTAGATCAATCTCGGATAAGTCTTCTGCTTGGGTGGATCGCTGCTCTTCGAGATTCTGTGTTAGGTTTCTTAGCTTATCCTCAGTGGCAAGCAGTTTAGTCTCCAGGGCATGTATGATGGTGATAAACCTCTCTGGGTCACTCGTATGTGGGAATGTGATATCAGAGGAGATATTTCCTTCAGTTAAAGGGATGTCTTCATTTACATCTTCATCCACCTTTTGTCCCGTGTCCACAAACGTACTTCTCTCCTGGCCTGTGACCAGGCTCTCTAAGCTCATGTATTTTTGGCACTGAATACTTGAAAATCGTATCCTTGATCTCTTAGCTTGAGACTCCTTATCATCTTGGGAGTTCTCTGTCTTGAGCGTATTGTCAAAGGAAAGTGAAAGGTCTGTGTCTGGTGATAAGGAGACTGATGTTTTAACTCTTCCTTTCTTGCTCTGCTCTGGGATTTGTCGTCTTTCCATGCGTAGGTCAGCATAGCCCAGCTGCAGGGCATTGAGATGTTGCTCTAGTTCTGCAATGCGGTCCTCTGCAACCACAAGCTTGGCTTGCAGATCCTTTTCAGCACTACAGGGTTCAACTTTATCTAAGAGGCTTTGACTCATTTGACAGAGAAGCTCCTCTTTAGCTTGCAACTTCTGTTCCGTTTCCTCCAAGCTGTTGCCAAGTGCAGTCATTTTAACAAGTGCCTCTTTTAGGTCCTCTTCTTTGCGTTCCACCAGCCTCTCATACATCTCTTTAGTCTGCCGGATCTCTTCCTCTTTTTCTCTAAGGAACTGGCTCATTTTCTGAAACTCTTGGGTAGCCCTTTCATACGAGTGTTCCAGGGTGTAGTAATCGGCTTCTTCGGTTTCCAGACGATTGCGGAGCTTATTCACCTCTCGGTCTGCTTCTGCAATCTGGTTAAGAAGCTCCTGACAGCGGCAAGTGAGATGGCCTTTCTCTTCTTCTAGCCTACGCACACTCTCCCTCAATGACTCAACCATGTCAATCTTCTGGGCCAGCTCCTCTTGCAACTTTAACATTTCCTCCCTGCATTCTTTTCCTCCCGAGGTCTGCCTCCCTCTTAACAGAGCCTCTACCTGCTGCTCAGCCTCCAGCAGTCTGTCCTCCATCTCTTTTTGTGCCATTTCAGCCTCAGCTAATTTTCTGCACAGGTTCTGTCTTTCCCTCTCATGACTTTCTTGCATGCTCTGCTGCTCCTTCCTCAGGCGCTCCTCCTTCAGTGCTTGACCCTCTTCAGTGGCACTTAGTCGAGCTGTGACCTCTTGTAGCCTCTCCTGCAACCTCTGCACCTCTCTCATGTGGTCTCGCTGCAGGGCCTGCTGGCGCTCCAGGTGCCTAAGGGCCTGGTTCCTCTCTAAGAGACTGGCCTCTACTTCACGGAGTCTGTCTTCACTGTCCTTTAGCTGGGCTCGGAGGGTGGCCTCACTTTGTCCATATTCCACTTCTTGTTCCTTTGAGCGCTCCTGCTCTAGCTTGAGCTCATTGCGCATTCGAGCCACAGCTTGTTCACTGGCTAAGATTTCAGCCATTGCAGAAGCTAGTTTCCCCTGCAGAGCCTGAATATCAGCCTCATGGCGGTCTACAGCATCCTGAGCTTCGGTGTAGCTTCTCTTCAGTGTCCGAATCTGCTGCTGAGCAAGGTCCTGCTTGCGCTTTTGGGACTCCAATTCACCCTGCAAATCTTGATTAAGCTTGTGCAAGCGTTGCCATGGCACTCTGTGCGGTGAAGAGGAAGGGGGTGTTGCACTCTTGAAAAAGATTGATGAGACAGTTTCATTAATGACATCACCTTACCTCCCCTACCATATACGGAGAGCCACATCTCAGGGGTTACCAGGAAAACAAGTTTCCCCTTTTCTTTATAAGTATATCTTTTGATCAGTGTTTTTTTTCCCAAGCTTCCACTGTGCTTTTTCAGGCGTGACTTGAAAAAAGGGGTGTGAAATGAATACCCCCCAAACAAACAAACAAGTGAACAAATAAAAACCTTCAGTGGGAGACCAACATGGTGATTTAAAAATAAAAATCCACCAAAGTAACTTTTAGAAAGTAAATGTGACACAACAAAATAACCCGTTTCTGTGATAATGTCATAGTTTAACTAATCAGTGGACAATGTACAAAAAAAAAAAAAAATTAGTTGATGTATACAATTCTGAAACACCAAAAAGCATGCAGATGTCAAGCTTGGAAAGGACACACAGACAAAGCACAGATGAACAGAGAGAAAAAGCACAGCGCAAGGCTCATTGATCAAGTTTCTTACCTTAAGCATATCAGATCAAATCAATTGTTTTCCCAGGAGATGTGAAACTCCATAAAAACAGTTAGTGAAAACTCATGCCAAGAACACCACAACCATGCGTAACAGTTTCAGAGAATAAGCACCCACACCTGTTAGTAGAATTTTATAAGTTACAGTTGCCACACATAAATCTATCACGAGCCAGTAGACTGTATAAGAAAAATACAATCTATCACGTACTGTGGTACAGCTGCGAACATTTAGTGCACCACATGTTTGACCAGTACATGTACCTCGCAAGTTTTGCAGTATCATTCTACACATTTTAATGCTCAAAATGTCTTTGTCAAAACTTGTGTTACAACACTATTTATACAATTGGTGTAAATTTTGAATTTTATACTAATCCTGTGTGACGGATAGTGAGTGTAGTACCTGCAGTACATAGCCCTCTCTGGCACTCTGTTCTCTCCCTAGTGCATCTTCCAGCTGCTCCTTTAAAAGGTTGTTCTGCTTCTGTAGTCGGTCTAGCTCCTTCTGCTTCTGTCCCAACTGAACAAAGAAAAAGAAAGAAAAATATGAATAAATGGCACAAGACGCTCTGATTCCATAAACGTAATGTATATGTCCACATTCAGTAAACACACCTCTTTGTCTAGCAGCGCAGCAAGCTCATCCGCAGGCAATCTGTCGGAGTTACCAGAGTTTCCTAAAGCTGTGGTGATGGGCACTTGCTTCTCTTCTCTCAGCGGTGTTGTCTCCACTTGATGCCATCGCTGCTCAATCTCTTCATGGACACCTGAGCTTCTGTTGTCCTTATCGTCACCTGCAGGGTGCATGGCTGTGGGGTGGTCTACTTCCATCTTTCCCTGCTCTGGGCTTTCAGGCTTCGATGGCTGTACCGGTGGCATAGCGTTTAGAGTAGAAGTCATGGTAACAGTAACAGTATTTGGCATGTGGGTTGCACTGGTTGTGCTGTGTGGAGGTACACCCCTCCTGACATTCTCCTTTTCTGCTTCTTCTGTCAGAGAAGGTGGGTGAGCGCCTGATATCGAGGAGGTTTGGAGGGAGGAGGTAGAGACGGGAGAGGACGCTAATGAAGAAGGTGAAGAGGAGGGAGAGCAATATGAGGAGGTTGTGGAGAACGATGAACTGAGGTCGACGGTGTCTGCTCGTTCCTTCAAAGGCTTTTCGGTCTGATCCATTTTGAACTCAGACCAATCAAAAGTCTTAGAGCGGCCCTCTGGTCTGCGCTCACGAACTCGGCTTTTACGGGACTCAGAGGGAGGAACAGAGGCATTGTTGCCAGCTGGCTGTCTGTGGACGTCAGACCTGGGGGCCTCAGAAATGGGGCTTGGCTCAGGGGTGACCTGTGGACACGGCTCCAACATCACTTGGGCTTTTATCTTCTCATCAGGGAGGGATCTGAATGAACAAAAGCACAGCAAATAAAATATGATATACAGCCAGGCTTAAACATGACATTGACAATTTTATAGTAACATCAACTCAAGCTATAAAACTATTACATAAAGCTTTGCTGGACAGAACAACAACGCAGACAGTTCTGGTAGCGTCGCATCAGTTGACAGTGAACTAACAGGGTTTCTGCAGGGTTCACCGAGTAAAATTAAAGACTTTTAGAGACGGTTATTTCCACATGGAATGCAATTTAATACCAGTTTCACAATCACACCAAATACCAAAGTATGAAAGTGTGATGGAAAACCAGTAGGGACAATAAGGCCTAGAATTATTTATTTTTACAGCACATTTTTTCAGTGCTTCCGTGCTGTATATAATAAGCATTTCTAATGATATAATTAAATGAGTGTGGACCTGGATGGGCAGCATTAAATGGATGAATGGACTAACCAATGGAAAAATTATTACTAAATTTAGGTCTTCGCTAAAGTTGACACTTGCCAATTGTGAGACGATAAGCTTCCTCGCTACTGTAAATAGCAGTAGTGGCAGTGTTTGCTGCAGGTCTCATGATGCTCCACAGAAGAGGATTGAACAGCCTCCTGCACACACAGTTCTCTGTCGCCCCAATCCCACTTTCAGTATAGCAGTGTGTAATGTCTCCCAACAGCCCAGATAAAAAAAAAATTTATGACTGACGTTGCTTAATTTTTAAAAAATTTATACGTTCTCAGGTTTTTTTTTTTTTTTTTTTTTTAAGAAAACTGAATTAAATATTTCTTTTACAACTTTTCAAGACCTGCAGATACCCTGATTTACAAAACAGACAGAAAAAAAAAAGAATCAGTGGAATGCATCAAAGTCAAAGTATTAACATCAAAACATTTATAAGGCACACTTTGCACCGGGCTGAAAGCAGCTTTGGTGATCGCAGTCATGATCCGAGGTAAGCCTGATGGGCTTTAGCTACCATGTCATTTTCATGTATTTAACATATAATGGCTTAATGTGAAGAACATGTTTGTTAGTGAACTGTACACTCACTGACACTTTTAATGCAGAGAGCCAGAGCATCTTTTTTAAAAGAGTGACCTTACGGAATGATCTATTTTTACCATGTTGTGTGGAGGTGTCAGGAGGTGTGAGTAAGGGGAAAATGAGAAGGGACAGAGCTCAAGAATGAGAAAGAGGTGTCTGTGCAGAAATTCCAAAAATATCACTCATTCTACCCTTGGAGAGAGCAGCCAAAGAGACGCCGACAGAGACAGAGTGAAGTGTGTGATTCAGTAAATGCAGCTCAGAGTGTGTATACATTATCATATGTGATGAGCCATCCAAAACACTGAAATAAATGATGAGGTAGTTAAAAGAATCCTTAGGTGAACTGTTGTTTTAGAACAGTTCCAGAAAAAAAAATAGATGTTTATGCCTTTTGCTTGTAGGCGTCAGTTATTTTTTTGTTTGTTCTACTGAGGGGACAGTCACATCACAGTGTCGATTAAAATCAGTCTCTGCTGTTGATCAATGCAGGTTGGGTGGATTATTCTAGTATGCTGATGTGATTGCAGTGTGTGTCTCTACAGTGGCACAACCAACAGGGAGACATTACTCAACAATCACATGACATAGGGCAGGACGACAAACACGCTGGGGCTGACATTGCTGAGCAATTACATCACTGTTTGAGGAGGGGGAGATATTCAACACATAAGCACTCCAACCTGGGCTTCAGAACGGATAGTTTCAGAGAGATGTTTTTCCTGGAAGCAGGTTGAAAATACCGGTTGAGGGAGGAAGAGAAAGGAGGAGAGAGAGAGAGGGTGAGGAGGAGAGAGGGATTAAGATAAAATAGGTGAGAAAAGGAGTCGTTTCATCTGCCAGTGGTTGAAGTGTTAATCCTCTTTGGGTATTACCGGGTGACATCGGGGGCAATAGTGGGTCGCACATTCTTCATAATGGCCTGAATCCAGTTGCGACGGATTCCAGAGGTCATGGCTGACAGGGTGCATGCTCCCTCTTTACACTGAAAGCAGAAAGGCATGACATTAACACACCGATTAAAATACCTTTTTGACACTTAGGAAAAAAAAACATTAGCAGGTGTTTTTGTACAAGCTTCAAATAAACTTCAAGTATGTAGCTGTGGAATTGAAAACTCTTCTTTCACTGTAACCAGTGGTGGTTAGAAAATGTACATTCACTGATGTTCTTAAGTAACCTCTTTAGAATAACTGTAATAGCAAAAGTAGCTGTAACTCTAAATGGAGTGTATTTCATTCTCCATCAACAGCTAGCCACACCACACTCGCAATTCTGTTTTATCAGCACTTTAATAATGGTTGAAAAAAATAAAAAAATAACTGAAATGAGGCAACAAATTCTTGGCTTCACTTCTCCTTTGATTTACTCTGTTGTGCTGTCGAACTACACTGAGGTCGGGTTCTGAATGCTTGTGTAAAAGCAGGGCATCAAAACACCACAATGACACGGAGCCGAGGAGAAGAGTTTGTATTTTTATGCTTTCATCACACCCGCATTTTTACCACCGTGTGTCTGTATCATGTGCAATCCATTCAAACTACTATATAATCAAATCTACATATCACTGAACTTGCAAATTTAATGTGCACTGCTCTGTCAAAAAGTCTGTGTTCAGATGGACTGCAGATAAACTGAATATACAGTGGATTGCCCAACATGGGTGTTTTCAATGGACTGCCATAGAGTGAGTCTGTGTAATGTTGTCAGATCATATTTTTACAATAATTGTAAAATTTTAAAAATATTTCACTAATCTAATCTATGACACTGAACAAGACATTTCAATCATTTATGGGCAATTTTCAGCTTTAAGATTCTTACAAATACCATTTAATGTTGATATGAATAGAGGCAGATGTAACTCTTTCATGTATATACACAGATACACACTTAACAATGGAAACAGAATTTGTCACTTGCCTTATATCTAAGGTTTACTGTGTGTGCAATAAATTTAACTTCTTATACAGCGACCTCTAGTGGCACTTAAGTGATCTCTTCAAGCCCACAGTTATGTATGAAAGCCTCTGAAGACACAGTAAAGAGGTTTAAGAGATCAGGCGCTTCACTCCAGACATCAGGATCTTAACGTGCGTTATTCTTCACTGAAGCTAAGCCAATGACAGAACAACAGCACCTTCCAGTCTGACCACGGAGCAGTGAGAGTAGATATAAATACTACAGTTATTAATTTCTCGACACCAAACCCATGTTGTTCTCAGCCAAAGAGACAACGATCCCCTCGACTACTCTATTTCTGACTTCCTCCACTAAATAGCTGCGGAAGCTGTTTCGAGCAAATGTAAACAAAAGAAATGACCTTGTAGCTTCCTTCTCCTCATGTTGGATTAGTACGGGAAGTTTACATCTATAAGTGGCAGGAACAAAACCCCCACTGACATCTAATGGATAACCATTGCATTGCAGGCCACTATATATGTCCAGTAAATATTTTGCCAGCAACAAGTGCTAAAAATGTTTAGTAGCCAAAGGATTACATGAAGAAAGCTCTGTCTCATTAGCTTCACAACATGATCCATACAACTGCAGGGCTGTTGTCCCATTAGGGTTCAGAGTCAAATTGCCGTGTAGAGAAATGTTTCTTACAATGTGGGAGCCAATGTGGACAGGACCTTTGAATGCAAGAGGTTAGGTAAACATATTGTGAAGGATGAGCACATGAGTTCAGGAAGACGAGCGGGGATGGCAACGGCTGGAGCAGATTTAGACCACCATGATGTCAGCCTTTCACAGAGAGATGACAAGTCAAGTGACATCCTTCATGACAGACAAAGAATCGTTTCAAAAAGAGAAATGGACAAACCTGATACCTAAAGTTGCACCACATGGTGTCTAAGGCTGTTTATAGACTGGCAGGAGACAGCAGAGCTAAACTGTGCAGACAATGAGTTTCATCTGTACTGGTGATTAATGACGCCGGACGATCGATGACATGAAGAATCAACACTCACCAGGATTTGGAAGCCGTAATTTCTCTGGACCGGGAACTCTTTGACATCATGACAAGTGGAAAGATCAATCTCACCATCCAGTTCTGAAGCCTAATGAGAATTAAAAAGCAGGGGAACAAGATGAAAAATAAAATGCTAACGGCACATTCATTCACATAAATAATCAAAAAACTTTTCAATCACTTTGAGGACTGCTCCTACCTCCTCGGCTATTGAGTCCTTATAGTACCTCAGATTCTGGTCTGTGAGGACAAACCAGTGTTTCTTCCACTAAGGGGAAAAAAAGACAACATTAAGTGGATTTCTCTTCTACTGTATGTATGTTGTGATATTACGTCGAGAAGCAGAAGGGCCATTTAATCCTACTAATGAGAACAAATTACCATTCCATCTTCATACAGCTTGGTCATCCATCCTTTTTTGAAGTTCAGCAGATCTGGCTGCAATGGACACAAACCAGAGTGATGCGATTAAAATTAAAAATCAATAATGGGAAATTAGGAAGGTGTCTTCTAATTAAACATTTAGCACATAAATAAAGAGAAATTCAGGACAGAAAAGCAGGATTATATTTTGTTGAAACATTTTGTACCAATTTGTCCTTATAATAAAAGTCATCATCAAGTGAGTATTCATCACTGATGTGATCAGAATATACAAATATATACATCTCCCTAATCACTGACGCATTTATGTGCATTTGTTTACATTTAGGTCACCACCTCAGCTCAAGTATATGCACCGTTACAAGGCTCAAGCTAAAGAGACCGACTGGCGGGAGCTGTGAAACACAAACTGCTGCACATTGAAACCAAGCTCAAGTCTGTTTATAGACTCTAAATCATTCGTCCAAAACCCGCCTTCTGCTCACTCAACAATACCTTTTTTCTGTTGAGCTTCATCAGGTGTGGTGTCACCGTCTGGCAGAGAGTCATTCTGATGGCTACCTGCATTCACTTCATATGTTGACAATCTGTTTCTTTCCGTCTGTCCCGGGGACATACACACGACTGCGGCTGCTTGTGTGCTGGCTATTTATAATCATCAGTGGCAGTGGCGGCAGTGGTGTGTACATGAATGTGAAGGCGTGTGTGTGTGTTTGAGTGGGTGGGGGGTTCTGGCAGCTGCAGCTCGGCCAGAGAGACCAACCACACACTGACTGGATCACCCCTGCAGCACTCTCTGAACAGACTTGAGATCAGTAGCAGTTTGTCAGACTGATAGGAGTCAGAGATTAGGAGGATACCAGTGCAACCTAAAGCAGCTAGTAGACTACTTTAATCTCAGTTGTGAAGACTAAAGAAAACAAGAGCGGTAATGCTATACGAGTGTGGAGTCGCAGTAGTGTTGGGTGCATGCTTAACTGAAGTTAAATTATGAAAGCTGCTTTTATGACAGTGCACAGTGTCACTCTCCAGAGCAACGTATATTACAAAAATGATTCATGAATCATTTAGCAGCCGAGATGATTATTAAGGTTGGAGAACATCAGTATAACATGCTTACATGTTCACAATAATATAATAATGAATACATAATACATGCATTTTTAAAACTGTTAATAGTTGTATTGGCTTTTTGGTTCTAGAAACATATCTCTTTTTAGATGTGTTGTGAGAAAACTTTTTTATGCTTGGACTAGTTTTCATAACAAAAATGTTAATTACGTCATAAACTCATTTCTGAATCCTCTTCTTGTCAAAAACCTTTAGGCTTTTTGTTGGTGCAAAGGGAGAAAAAAAAATAAACAAACTAATACACAAAATCAATCTCTGCTACAATTACTTCTGAATTGGCCGCGATATGATTGAACGCAATTGGTAGTTTTCATGTGGTGGAAAAGTGGAGAGGGATCGCATCCTTTTCTGTGCATTATAAATCTAAATCCTGAATCACCAAAGACTTTTAATGTGACCTTGACCTGATTTTGTAGTTCACTGATTATAGCCTTTATATGCTTTCGATGTTGACTGATGACTGTTGGTACTCACAGTCATTGAAGACTCTGTGACTCTGCGGTCCAGTGACTTGGCTCTTCTTAGGTTGGCAAAAGTGGAGCTGGACACATCAGGGACTGAACGATCTTTCCCTGCATCCAGTGACATCTCCTATAAATATTAAATTTGTATTAGAAATTAGAATTAGAAGTAACTGCATGTTATCAGAGTAGGGAGATCATGTCTAACTTATTATGCAGTACATCTTCGATTCAAAATTCTTTTAATGGCAGCATTTTACGCCTTTTCTGTTTTAGTTGTTCAGGATTAATGGAAAGAACAGCGTACATGTTTATTAGCCAGATAGCGTCTCTCACTGCGGCCTTGTCTCTGGATTACAACGGTGTTGGCGGTGGGCTCATTGGAGCTGCTTGTGTCCATACGTTCCACATGCTGACCCTCCTCGAACCGGCCGATGATTTGAGAACGCCTAAGAAACACATACAGTTTTTCTCTTCAAAGACGTACTCGATAAAGCTTACATGTTTCATTTAAAACATAAAAGTCTTGTGTGACAGTGAGCAAAATATTGAGCAAATAAAATCACAGTAGTAAAATTAACAGGTTATTCTTAATAAACCTAAACATAATAATGCAGCATTTCAAGTCCTAATCATAATAATGCAGCATCTCAATCCTACATGGTGGCAGAATCAGTTAGCATAAAAACAAGACAAAGCATAATATGAAAGCAGTGTGAAAGTAATTTCAGTTTATTGTGTGCAGAGTGCAATGCTGTCATTACTGTGCAGTATTCACACACAATTATGTTGGACATCATTCTAGAGTCGAGTCCCTTTCACAGTCAACAATGTGCAGCACAAAGTAGAAGTAATATCCCCAAAGAGAACAATCAATAGATACACCAAAGAATAAAGAGTAGTGTTATATGATGAGAGATTGAACTTTAGAAGAAAAGGAAAATATCTAGGATGGTGGATTAAAATTGCAGAAGTAGCAGCAGTGGCAACAGACTCAGTGTTACCTTAAGGCACTGCACTTGTTAATGTGTATGAATTTGTGACTGCATGAGAAAGGAAGAAAGATTCAACTGTAGTTATAACCAACCAGTACCAACCATTAGTATGTCTGAGTATGCACAGTGTTTATGCTCAACCAGGTATGTATATGGAACAGTGTATGTGTGTGCTTCCAGGCAGAGATGAAATGATAGAAAGCAGGAATCAGCGGTGACCAGCAGGGAACAGCATTGGGACAGGAATGGAAGGGTTGGTTGAGCATTAGCTCTGAGAAGCTCTGTTCAGAGGCCCCTGGAAAAGATTGAAACGACAAAAGAAACTAGCAAAGTAGCAAAGGCAAAAGGTAGAGACCAATAGAAAAGAAAGTAACACGTGCATTTAAATCCCCAAAATCATTAATGGCAAACCACTGGTAAGCTCGGATAGGCAGCAATAGCAATAGATGCTCAAGAGGTAGGAATGCCTGGAGGACAGCAGTCACAGGGGGGTGCTAATAAACTAAAATGCTGTACGTTTTAAGCAATGTATGAGCTTCACATAATAGATTACTTGGCATGTATATGTTTTAAGGCTTTGCTAAGAGCTAACAACCAGTGGCTCATTAATGATTATTAATCAAGTTTGCCATCATTATCACAAGTCCATCTGCATTAATATTTCTGCTGTGTGGTATGTGTTCAGCATTCAGCATTGATCTATCAGAAAGCAAGTCCAACAAATGAAAAATGTCTCTGTCTGATCTTTGTTGCAGCGTGCCGAGCATGACACTTATCCATAACCTCTCACCTGCGCTCCTCCCCGAACAGCCGAGCCACCTCCTCTCTGCCAGGACTCCGTGTCCGTGCCCTCAGCTCTTGCCGCTTTTTCTCCGAGCGGAACGCCTCTCGGTAGCTCAGCCTGCGAGCCCGTGGCACGTCCGACAGCGCTGCATACTCCCTGCCAGACCGGCCTACTCGGCCTCCGCCGCCACTGACACTATTAGTGCTCCCTCCACCACCACTGCATCCCTCCCAGGTGGGCGTACTGCCGCTGGGATCAGAGTCCAGCGAGCTCTGGGAGGAACTGATGGTGGAGTAGCTGGGAGAAACAAGTGCACCTGGAGAAGGGAGAGGATCTTGGGGAGGTTGATAAGGGGAGGTTTGGGGGTCTGACTCGGAGGTGTACCTGGGACTGGGAGCTCCTAAAGAGGAGGATGATGCTGAAGAGGACAGGGGCAGATGTTGAGGTGGCTGGGGTGGCTGGGAATGCTGTGCAGACTGTGGAGAAGGCTCCGACTTGGTCTTCTCCAGGGAAAAGTAACCGCTCTCCACGCGTACCTTGCGTCCAGTATTCATGGTGCCACCATCTGAAACAAGGAGACAGTGCCACTGATATGAAACACCCAAAACAGTCTGTTGATAGTAAATATCTGACCTTAAATTACAAATCTGTTGTACACTACATAATGTTGACTTGTCAAAATAGATGGAAAAGTCACTTATTCCCAAAACAAAAAGGCTTATGCTTTAGCAGTTTCCAAAAGTGATCTGGTTTTCCTACTAAACAGTGAAACAAAAGCTAAAGTCTATGTACACATTTTAAAGAATTCACATATTTTTTCTTAATCCTCACCGTCTTGAGTAGTGTTACTGGAGTCTGGTTGGCTCTGGCTCAGCTGGCTGAGACAGGAGGCACTGCGGCTGCAGGGGATGGTGGCCCTGCTCCAGCGGCTCTCCTCCTGCCACAGGGTGGCACGGCTCATCGGGACACGCTCAGCACTGGCAATGCTGCTGGGCAGACAGGGGATGCTGCCTCCGCTGCTGCTGCTGGTCACTGTCACCTTGGCAGGGCCGGGCTCCTGGGTAGGGGTTTGGGTTGGAAGGAGTGGATAAGAAGAGGAAAGGACATAATGGGAGGTAAGGTCACACAGAGACTACAAAAAGGAATATGAGAAGGAAGGAGATTAAAGAGCAATTAAAGACTGCAAAGTAAATTTAATACATCTTTTTTTATTTATTTTTTTATTCTGACTCCTAACTGCAGTGGTGTTAAATCATGTGCCAGTCACCCTACCAGCTGCTCCCTCTCTGTTTGAAATGGTGCCATTCAGTGAAATCAACCTCCTGCACAGCACAGTGATCTCTCTTGTTTGGAGAAGTAACAAGCCGACACTTGGTGTTGAGTGGCACATGATTTCACACTACTGGTCTGTTTATTTGTTTGACTTGTTGGATTTTTATGCGTATATGTCAGGAATATCCAATTTCAAAGTGACAAAGCAAAAGAACATTTCTTTCATCAGTGGTAAAATGACAAATCCTGGGAAGAGAGGAGGAGGATGTGTGGGAAGGAGAGAGAGATGGACAGCTTGACAAAGAACAAAGAGTTCATTCAGGACAAACACACCTGTACAGAGAACAAAAACCAGAACGAGGGCATTCTGTAGAGGTGGAATATATTGGAATCAAATTTCTAGGATAAAAATCATACAGATCATCTCCACTTGATTATTGAAAGTACAAACAAAATTAAACACTTATTCCTGTTGTGTTCAAAGTTTGATCTTCATATTGGGAAGTCTCTTGATGATCAGAAGATCAACAAAATCATTAGGGATTTTAAGAAGAGAGAGAAAGATTTCCAAAAGCAAAGCGACCCTCTAACAACTCCTCATCCAGCCTACTTCAATCACCACAAACATGCTGTTGTGCTAATAATCACTCTTTCAGGATCAGAGAGAGAAGCAAAAGGCATGTCTTTCTTATTCGCCCGTCACCAGGATTGATTGGGATTTGAATAAACACAGTTTATTAGGGCTGGGATTTCAAGCCACTGAGGGTGAAGCAGGATAATAATAATAATAATAATAAAAAAAAAAAAAGTTTGGCCGAGCTGAACTCACTGGGTGTCCATTCATGTCTTCAGTGGAAAAACACTGGCTTGGAGTTACTCCACCCTGCCAATCACAAAAAGCCTCTGATGTTAATGCTTGCTATGCAATGCGGATTATATTCAATACAGGTAGACCCAAATATCTGTCTTGGTGTTTTGATAGTTTCTGTATTTTTTTTTTTTAACTGCAATGTTGTGTTTTGTTCTCATTTAGGCCAAATTCATGCAAATTCATGATGTATAGCACTATTTCAAGTTAAGTTTAGTGTTTTGTTTAAGAGCCAAGAATCTGAAAGTACAAACTCCTTCCTGACTATTTCAGCAGAAGTACGAGACACAAGAAGTTATCACCGTTTCCTGTCATGCAGTTTTTTTTTTTGTGCCTAAGGTCAGGTGCTTCAATTAAGGGGCGCCACCCAGAAGGCAAACATGTTACTGTGCTCAAGTATTTACAACCATCCCTGAGCATATGTATCCAGTAACTTAAGTAGAAGTGGGAGGAGAGCATTCAGGTGAAAATGAGAAGTGTGGAAAATTTGAGCCGTGACTCATTTAACTGGGAAAATCTTTATCATATTCTTAATCAAACAGCCCAGATGACAATGATAGGATCTGACATGAGACAACAGTGAAAGCATAATCACCCTCACACATTATCAACTCTAATTATACAGCTTGGCCTTGACCAGTCGAGTTAGAAGTTATTTTAAGTGACGCTCATTCCAGACAAATGTTTTACAAATAATTCCTGTTCTGCAGCTACTCATTTTTCTACTCGTATGGTTGTAGAAAGTAGATTTCAGTAACTTATTGAGATACAAACAATGATAATTTTATGTCATCTGGAAGTGTTAGATGTTAAAACCTGCACATTCACAGAGCAGTAGTTAATCTTGACCTCTATGTGTCACTGTGCCTCCTTAAGTCTATGTGTAGCAGCTCACCACTTACCACAACTGTAAATAACTGTGTAAAAAAAGATGAAAAAGGACAAAGAAACAATGTTATAAGATAGTATAAAAGTGAAGCTGATACACTGATCTACACAGGGAAGTATTGTTGATGAACACAGCAACAAAGAAACCCAGAAATACATAAATCATGGGGGTCACATGGGAGACAGTCAAGGTCATCACTGTGTCACCACTGTTCCTCTGCAAATGAGCCTTGTTTGTGTGAGCTCAGTAAAGGTCACAGTCTGATTCAGGGCGCCGTCATTAGAGGAGCCAGACAATGAACTTCAGAGAGAATTTTATGTTCATTCACCACAAATTTGGCCTCTTATCAAAAAAGGAGGTGGGGAAAGGGGAAAACTGAATCCCACAGTGGGTGGTCTGTACAATATTATATGATATGCCTATATTCCACCTTGTCATTAAATCCATTATAATGATAATAAAGCTTTACATGGTCCTGCTTTTTTTCTACCTACCAGGGAGAAATCTGACTGCAGCACATGCAATCTTGCACTGACATTAAAAACTGCATATTTATTTTCTATGGGCACCATGTGTCAGACAGATGTCACATGAAAAGACAGCGCTAACCTGAATGTAACGGCTCAGCTTTGTGTGACTATACTTAATATAATTTGATCTGGTTTTCTCATCCTTTCTTCAGTCATTCTAGATACCTTATTGCTCTCCAAAGGGAAATTCACTGGCTGGCCCTCTCTACAAAGCAGTCAATACACAATGTCAGCAAATGAACAGCACCTCTGGGGATTGAGTGGCCAAGTCCTAAGGTACGTCTTTCTAGAGACTTGCAGACTTAAACATGCTGCTTCTTCTTGTAGTCTGCGAGGGCTGAGGCTGTCACGGTGTGAAAATGTTTGTAGGACATTTTGAGTTGAAAAACAGGTCAGTTAAAAACAGGGTACAGAGATGAGGTCTGAAAGTGGATAGACAAAATCTTTAATGAGGGTATGATCATTGCTGATTTGTTTTGACCGTTTTACAATAGGAATATCTCTGTTCCAGGTGACGTGATTTCTTCAGGTATTTTCTCTTTCCTCATTAAGCATTTCGGGCTGCTGCATGATCATACACTCGCACACTGTCACAGGGCACATTGGTGATGTTAAGTAACATCCGTGATACTTCTGTTTTTAGGGTTCAGGGCTGGTGTGGGAGTGTGGGAAGTTTTGAATCTGACTTCTCTTACACAAAGCGTCAGTTCAAAAAAAAAAAAAAACTGTTCTGACCAGACACACAAGGTTAATGATCATCCAGGCAGCAAAGGTCTGGTAGGTGCGACTGCAGCTGCTGGACGTAACACTGAAACAGAGCGCACCAGCAAATGAATAAGCGTGAGGATCATGGTCACATTGCTGGAAGTTTCTGTTGAGCGTTACTTTATCAGGCAGCTGTCATCATTTGCATCAATTGTTGGTCATGATTATTCTGATAACTCACTGATGTTTGCTGCCAACTAAACAGGTGATACTGTATATACAGTATGTTGCTTCTAAACCACCACAGCTGCACTGTTAGAAACATGAAGCAAGTACTGGAAAAATACCTGACAATATGTAAAACTGGTAATTCACAACACCCATAATACAATCCAATCAAATCCTACCACTGTGATTCTTTTATAGCCACTGAAATTAATTTAGACGAGTATGTGGCATGCAGTCTGTTCATCTATCAAGACTGCCACTTCTTGTGACTCAAGAATGCAAATATGGATTGCATAATCTGTTGAGCATGTTACAGACAGAGAAACAATACATCTCATCTCTGAGGGGAAAACAGCTGGTGTAGTTTAACTGGAATGAAACGCCTCCATACTGCATACTTTCATGGCACATGACGTCCTTAAATATATTATTTATTCTTTCTTTGTTGTAGCAATGACCAAACTCACATGTGGATCGTTTATAATGTTCACCTTATCGCAAACAGTGCTGATAAAGTCATATCCACCCTCAAAGTGGGACCGTGAAATCATACTGGGAGCCAAAAATGCTCATTATCTGTCATTTGGAAATCCTTCTGTTAATGCAGATGATGTCAAACAAACGCAGATACTGAGCAAGATTTACATCAAATTGGTGCTGCACCCGGTACCAATTTGACCAATTTTATTTGATCTCCTCAACTGAATAATCTCAACATGCTGTTCATCTGTATTCTAGCATCATCCTCTCCTTGTTATCTGCTATACATCCATGCACAAGAGTCCTCTGTTTCAAGTTTGCTACTCAGCATTCAAGAGCCAGTCCATACCAGAAAGAAACTGGCTGCAGCAAAAAACATCAGTCTGATCTCTGATCATCTGGATTTGGTTGCGTACTACTCTCACTTTGTTCAGTGTGAGTGAGATAAAAGCACTTCACCATGGACAGTGTGAATAGGTGCATTACCTGGTGAGTGGGTGGATCAACCTTGCGTTTCTTCTTCTGGTTCTGCTTGTTGGTCCTGGGGTACACAGTCAGTGCCTCCTGCCACCTACAAATAGTGAAACAGTCAAAATATTGTTCTTGGAACACTAAATACAGACTATACAAACCCTGTGCCGCTGGCAGATCAATGTATGACTGAGGCTAAAGTTCTCGTCAGCAAAAAATAAACAGTTATAATTGCCAGGACAAGCATTTAAATGACCTAAAACTACTACCAGCTACAAAAAGATAAATCTATACTTCTCTCTACTCTGGGAAACAATGCTCTGAAAGATAATCTAATCTTTAGTCACTGTCTAATCCACTAATTGGCAACAGAAATAATTTAAAGCTTGGTATGGTTATATTTGATTCTCCTTGATAATTTATGCTTTGATTTTCTCTTTGTGAACAATAACAATGGGCATTACAAACAGAAAGATTTCATGAGGACACTATTATCTAAATAGCAATATCAAAGTGGATTTAATTAAGCATTGTGCTTAAAAAGGAAAAGTACTTTTTTTTTTTTTTTTTTACACAGCACAGATAATACTCCCACACATTTAGCTTTTCTACCTTTTCTTAATGTTGCTGTGCCAACATGTTCTACTGTAGCACCATCGTTCCACTTCCCCATATGCCGACATTCTGTATGTAGTTCATCAATCAAAATCATTGGGATGAATTTGAACCTGGAAGCAGTTTGCTAAAGTTTGACTAAAATGCTAATTGTTCATCTTGGTCTAAAACTAGAATAAAGTGCCCAGAGTCTTTAATCAGCTGATACTAAAATAAACAGATGTTTTTTTGTTGACTAAACCTAGACTAAACTGTTCATGGTTAACTGTGACTCATGTGTCCAGTTTTAGTGTACTGAAAACTGACTAAAAATAAAAATGATGATGGTGACAAATATAACCAAACTCACATGTACTCATCTCAGCAACTAATTAATAGATTCTGAAAACAGCTGTCAAAATTAACACTAATCCTCATGTGATTGTAAAATATAAAACATTATCCAATAAAAAAATCCTGCCTCTTTTATTGGTAATATTGTTAACATTTCTTACTCCATCCACTTTGTAATGAGTGAAAGTCTTTGGTGTCATCAATAAAAAAAAAAGTGACGCAGTTATAAATGAATGAGCACAGTTTCCATACTGTGACACCATGAGTCAAAAGACATTTGAGAAGAGCTTAACATAGCCAGGAAAAATAATGAAGATATGCTTTAAAAAGTGCTGGTTGTTACACCACTGTCAGTTAATGACAACCATTGCATGATGGCCCAGAAGCAACACATGGGAGACAGATGATGGGAGAGTGGGAGGTGTACAGTGATAGAGCAGGTAGCATAATGGAGAGTGGGTGCTGTGAGTCACTGTTCCCTAAGAATAGCCATAATATGTATGCTACAGCCAGAGATGGAGAGCAGTGCAAAAACACACTCTGAATGTGCAAAAGTGGAGTAGAAGACGCTGGAGAAAACTATATTATGAAATAACTATATACAGACCCTGTTTTGTGATCTGTGTCCAGGCATACGAGGGTTTGTGAACACAGGGAGAAGACTTGAGGGGCAGGGAGAGGGAACAGTTCAAGAATGTGCACTGTCACTGCAGTGTGGATTACAAGCCTCTGAAAAGCACCGCCCAAAAGAGACAGCAGGGGGCAGAGCAGATTTGGCTGCCATAACAGTTGCGCACAAGTATTCTCCCTTGTCCAAGTCCCTGTCATCCCGACCCACTCAGCCCAAAAGAGAGAGCAACACAAACCATACTGCAGGCCACAGTTATTCTACATATGTTAGGACATAATGGCAAGCTGTCTATGTGTAATTCCTCCATTAACATTTCACATTCCTGCTTATAATGTCTTACCCGTTGATGATTTCTTTACATTCAGCCCGTATGAAGTGCTCTTTCTCAGAGGTCAGGATGCACAGCGAGTTCTTCTGACCTGTCCTGGTCTCCCCATCGATGACGTCAGAGCACTGGTTCATATTGATTGTACCCTGGGGTAGAGTGCTGGGCTGTGGGACACAACAGAGAAAGTGTTAAGTGGGGAAGTGAACAGACGTGCCTACTTATCTCTCCACATGGTCTTTCTGTCTTCTCACACAGTCCACCCACCCCACATTAATTTTCATGCCAAGCTTGGAGCACCACACACTGATTTAACAGTCTGGGAACGGGCAAATGCTCCAGTCAGGGCTCACTGTGATATTTTTGTTTCTTTAGAGGTATACTGCAGCACTTATAAAAAAATAACTATTTAATTGAATCATGAATGCAGCTTTTTACTTCAGTAGCTCAATAGCTAGTAATTAGGCTGATTTTAGACAGTGACATTGGGTAGTTATTCACAACTCTGATCGGCTCAGCATGACATTATTGTATTTAGTAAATAGTCGCCACTCAATCCAGGCTAAAGTCTATAATGATGCACTTTCTGTAGCTGTTGAAGCTGTGGGTTAATTTCATGTAAAAAAGGCAGTGTCCTCATTTAGACATTAAAAATGACACCAATTTAAAATATTCTTCAAATGAACTAAACTGTTTATTTCAAGATTAAACACATAGCATCAGTTCCAATGTAAATAAAGTCGGTGTTGATCTCAATGTCAGTTGTTCAGCCCCATTCTACACAGCCATGATGTATAGTGCACAAGGAGAAAGAGCCTGAAACAACCCGTGAAAAGGACTGTCTGTTCCATTTATACACCGTGCAAGTTCATGGGTTCACCGCACGGTTTTCAGTTTAATCTGTCTGATGCCGCCTAGCTGTGAGGTGTAAACTCAACTATGCACACTGACATGGATGCCATCTGTCAGCCATAAATAACGTAACCACAGGGCTTTCACAATAATACTACTTTGTGTACAGTGACTTATGGTTTTACATGCAGGTTTATGTAAGCAAACAGCAGCTTTGTACGTAGGCACGACTCATTTACAATCAATGGAGACATTCTAGCTCGACATGGAAACAGATAAGATAGTCTATTTATAGCCCATTGCACTGCATTACTCCAAGTGAACCTGTTGTGGTAGTCCTTCAGTTTTTGTAAAATTACGCTCTGTCGAGTGCATTAGTCAGTACAACACTTGTACAGATGCATTCTTAGAAAGACAGTTCTTGCAGTATTTGAACATGTTACCATAACAAATATTGCTAGATCAGAAAACTGACTCTTGCTTGGTCTGACCTCCAAATGACTTACTCGAGCAACACAAGAAGCCTTGATAGTCTTCTGTTGACTGAGGGACTTAAATTTGTTCAGGTAAAAGAAGTAAATGAATACTGCGTTACCCACTACACTGGGCATGGGAAGCTGTTTGAACAACCTTTGGATCCTACCTTCACTGCACTAAACATACAGGCAGAATTATAGACAGCAAGAAACCACAGTGGTTCCAAGCTATAAGTACCAGTTAGCCACAGATGATAAATTACAGCCCTCAGTGAATCGGAATATATTAGGAGATAGAGCTGGAAACAAAATTAAAAGGTATCACATTCAAGTTAGCTAGTGACCAAATAAATCTAACTCAAGGACCCAATTTGTGCAACATAACCATAGCCTGTCAGTAACAGAGCAATTTAAGCCTATGGATGTCCTTTAATGTGGAGAGAGAAGTCAATAGTTAACAGTTTGTGGTAATCCCACCCTGAGGGAAGATGAGAGGCCATGTTTACTTCGTCACTGTTAAATGTCACTTTCATTCTCAACTCTTTTACAACTGTTTATATTGTAAAAGGAGAGCAGTGTCAAAATTTGGCACAGCAAGTTGGAACAAGGTTGGTCTAACTAGGCTAAGAGTGAGAGAAAAATCAGGCAATCATCTAGGCATCTGGTACGACCTTTACAACTTCTCTCGTACTACGGTAAAACACGAAACAACGACTCAGTTGGCCATTATGTTTTGGTTCAACCTCTTATGCCTGTGACATTAAAATGGTCCATCACCGAAGGGCTCTTGACAGTGAGGTGAGAGGCCAGGGCAACAGCCGGGCTTGACAGACAGACGGACAAATAGACCCTGGGACAGCTGGGCGAGGGCCTAGGCCTGCTTCAGACTGGACAGAGAGACTGGCGTCAGCTTGACCTGAGAGCCCTGTCACTCTCAGACATGCAGAGAGGAAGGTGGTTTGGAGACACGGAAGGAAGGAAGTCTCAAGCTGGTGGTCAGGGGGACAGTTGGGCAGCATTAAAAAAAAAGGGGGGGGGGGGGGGGGTGGGACTATTTGACTTTGCACTGTACGGCCATCTGTCTATGTAAACAAATCGAGAGTACACCACACATGTGGGTTTGTCCTTGAGCTGGAGTCAAAGGAGGATAAACAGCAAAATATTTCAAATTCTGGGAACAGTTGTACAAGCAGCTTAAGCCCCCAGTTTTATAATCACAGCATCGGATTCTCTAGGACACAGAAAATAAATCAGACTGACAGAAGCTCTGATTAAAAACCTATTTTCATAAAGCTGCTCACCTCTGAGGAGATTTGAGTGCTTATATGAAGTAGGTGGCGGTTGTGTGGGAGTACAGTATATGTTTCGCACTAGAGCTGTGTGGCAAGCTGCACGGGACTCCTGTCACATGTGCACACCCTCCCTGAACCCGCACTGTTGTCAGCTGAGCACCAGTACACGCCCCTCCTTTGGGCCAGCCACCGCTGCTCAAGCCCCCAGACCCAGGCCCCCGAACCTACACCTCTCTGTCACCTAGCCTAGACCCAGTCCCCTCTCCGCGGGCCGCCACTCTCCACAATGGGCCCTTTGTGAAGCAGCACCAGTTCACACAATGTGGGATTGTCAGCCGCCACAGTCCACAGAGCCACTCCTCCCCTTAACCCTCAACAAGGAAATGACTGAGAGACAAGAGGCCCAAACAAGTGTCCTTTTGTGATCAGAGCATGGAAATTATGAAACCAGCATAAACTTATTCTCGTCTCTGAAGTTGTTCAGACAATAGTATGAATACTGTCTCGATGGGAATCATTGAGCAGAGTCTCAAGGGAAGACGGGACAAATCAGAAAAAGATTTGATTTCTATACAGCAGTCTGCGATGACTGGAGCAGTTTGGGGCAGAGGACATTTTATATCAGCACCAATATTTATCTATATTATACATATGTGCAAAAATATTATGAAAGCAGCCGCCAGATAGGCCACGTTAGCCGTCATTCAGATGATAAAAAAATTCTCCTTAAAGGATAATTATGCTGCAGGAGCAAACATTAAATTGAAATATTGTCAAATGCTGTATTAGGTATATGTTTGAGTATTTATGATTAATTGTTAATTAGTTGTTGATTCATCATAAATATTTAATTGCATGAACACTGATGTTTCATTTTTATTATTTTGTTTTACTTCAAGGTTTTATTGTATTGTGAGTATTGTACAAATAAAAGCTTTCATACAATTTATAATTTTGTATTTTTTATTTAAATTGTATTGTAAATTCTTTTTGGACTATCTGTTCATGAATTGTTTTCATTATGTTTTTACATTCAGGTCTGTCTTGAAAATGAGATTTCTGTCTCAACAGGATTCTGAATAAATAAAGGTAAATAAATAAATAAATACCACTAGACAGTTCTATGGGATTTTCAATTCTAAAATACAATAAAAAAAAATAAAAAAAATCTACCCAGATCTTTTGCAAAATGGCAAAAGGAGTGAGGAGAGACTATTCCCAGTTTACCCACTCAGGGAGGCCAGCAACTGGTAAAGGCAGCTGATGAAGACCATTCACAATATAATGGCCAAGATGCTTTCAAATAAATGGTTCTTTTCAAATCCAACACTGCATTACAATGTGTGGACACTGCATAGTTTAGCATATAGAATTCATATGTCTTGTGATCTCTGTCCAGATGTTGTGTAGCATTACAACAGTGCTCATTAGGAACAAACTCTCTGTTTAGAAAATGGTAATTAGTAAGCTCCATGCATGCATGCATGCTTTTGCGTCCTTGGCTTCCTTCACTCTTGGCCTCTCCACAGCTTAGCAAAACATCCCATTCTCCCTTATGACACAGTGGGAGAAATATTTGCTTCTTTTTGCAGCTGGCTGATGGTCTACTTTCATTTTTGGTTGTGAAGCGAATTCTCTTCCTCTGCCATCAACATTTTTGGGTTTGACAGACTTATTTCTAGTCATGGAAAGCAAGAGTGCAGTTAAACTGACTCACTTAAAAAGGAGCATGAGGGAATGAAATGGCATTTAACAAATGTGATGAGTAACATATTGCAACATCTTTTTCAATATATTTAATTTCTCATTCATTTTCTATCAGTATGAAGACACTGGAAATATTTCCCAATGGCCAAGTTAGTTAGGAACACCTGTAAGTTGATTAGAAACATCTGTTTCTTGGTATTAGGTGCCAGTATGTCTGCCAACTTGTGTGGTGACAAATTCACATGCTATGACTTCACTCGTTAACTTACATCACTTTTCTTTTAGGCATGTACCAGCAGGATCCTCAAGCATTGTCTCCAAGTTCTTCACCCTGCGTCCAGGTCATGAAAGACACTGAAGCCCAAAGGAAAACTGATGAACTGGCACTGCTTCATCCTGACTCATGAACATGGCCTAGACTCAGGTCTTTTCAGGGTCCAACATCCTCTGCTCATTCCCGATAACAACAATTATGCAATAAATCTTTCCTTAGCAACTTAGGACAACAGAGGTAAACACATTTGATACCAGTGAGTATGCCAACAACCAGCTGCAGGGAAATATCCTCAGGTGCCAGACGGATGGAGTCACCTCTAGTCTTGGTACAGAGGAATATCAAACACACAGTCTGTCGTTCTCGCTCTCTCCTTACGAAGTCCACAATAATCATACAAACACAGATATACATAGCAATCAGGCCAGGAACTAGAGCTGACAGATTGGTCATGCACAAGATTATAATCATCACTGTCCCAGGGTCCTCACGCACCTGTAATTTAACCCCAATATCAAGACAACTTCAAGCCAGTGCAATCACACGTGATATTTACCTTAGCCTCA